GTTCCTGTAGGCATTTGAATTTTCTCCAGCCACTGTGAACCCTTTTAATTTCTGATATATTCAATCACTGCTATGACAGGTGCATATTTCATGTTTAAAGAAATACCAAGCATTTTCCAAAGCGAATTCTCCATTATACATTTCTACCAACAATACATGAATGATCCAGGATGTTTGTGGGAAGGTCAGCATTGGGTATTGGCATTATTTTTCATTTTATCAAGTTTAAGAGGTGTATGGTAATCTCATCATGCCTTTCATTGTATTTTGGCTGAGATCAAGCACTCAAGTCTTTTTTTAGAAGGATAGATTTTTGTTGTCTATATTTACAGTATACATGCTACTTTGATATACATATACATAGTGCAATGCTTACTGCAGAAAACATAGCACATTTATCACCTTCATTAGTTATCTCTTTTTATTCTTATTTTTCACCTAAAATCTACTCTGTTACTCAGTTGTCAATGTTCAGTACAGTAATATTATCTACAGTCTTATGACTGTGCTTTTCATCCTGTTAGAATTGCAGGTTCTGATCTTTTGATGTACATGCTACGTTATCTGCCCCTCTTCCCTCCTGGTAATCACTGTTCTGCTCTCCATTTCTATCTACTTGGCTTTCTTAATGATCCACACATAAGTAAGTTTAATGCATTTTTTTTCATTTGAGTCTGTCTTACCTTAGTGTAATGTCTTTTAGATTCATTTACACTGTTAGAAATATCTCCTTTTCTAAAGCTGACTACTCTGATAAACTAATCTACAATTTCTATCTATCTATCTATCTATCTATCTATCTATCTATCTATCTGTCTGTCTCTTTGCATATTTTTTTCTATCTGTCTACCCATTCATTGTCCATATTTTATTTTTATCCTACCCTTCCAGACTATGACCACTTACACTGGTTTCATACCTTGACTATCAGGAAGAGTGCTGACTGGAACATGGGTGTGCAGATAATTCTATGAAAGCTGATTTCATTTCATTCCTTGAATACCAGCAAGAAAACTGCTAAGCCAGGTTGTAGTTCTACTTTTACCTTTGTGAGGAGTCTCCATGCTGTTTTACATAACAGTTACAGCAATTTATGTTCGCATCATTAAGGGTTCTCTTGTCTCACACCTTCAGCACTTCTCTGGGAGCTTGCCTTTTTTTATAATCACCATCCTCAGAGGTGTGAGATGCGTTTCATTGTGGTTTTATTTGTCTTTCTGATAATTAGTGATATTGTATACCATTTTAGGCATTTTTTGGGTATTGAAATACTTTCTTTGTTTGCCCATATTTTTATTGGATTATTTATTGGTTGTTGCTGCATTGTATGCATTTTTATACCTTTTAGTTATTAACCCATTATCATACATACAGTTTTCAAGCATTTTCTTCCATCTGTAATTTGCTGTTCATATTTCTTTTGCTTTTTAATTGATGTATTTTCACTAGCTTGTTTTTGTTGCCTATATTTTGATGTCATATATCAAAAATCATTTATAAGACCAGTGTCAAAGAGATTTTCCTCTATCTTTTCTATTAGGAATTTTATGAACTTTGCCACTTGCATTTGATTGTTAAATATAATTTGAATTCATTTGTGTGCATGGTAATGGACAGGTACATGGATTCCCATCTGGTTTGGCTGACATCATGTATTGATCAGACTTTCCCCATTCCATACTCTTGATGTCCTTGGCATAGATTAGTTGACTGTATATTCCTAGGTTTTTTACTGGGCTCTCTATTCTGTTTCATTGGTCTCTATTTATTTGTATGTCAGTAATATGCTGTTTTGATTGTGAATAACTTTGTAATACAAATTGACATCAGGAAATCTGGTACCCACATCTTTGTTTTTTCCGAAGATTGTTTTACTCATTTAGAAATTTTTATGATTTTGTATATATATAGAATTATTTTGTGTATCTATGAAAAATATAATCAGTATTTTGACAAAGATTTCTCTGAACCTTTATATTATTTTGGTTAATATGAGTATAGGAACATCTTTCCACAGATTTATTTGCCCCAATGTACGCTCTTTGGTAAAATATTTCTCATGTATTTGCCCAGTTGGTACTTGTTTTACATAACAGTTACAGCAATTTATATTTCCATCATTAAGGGTTCACAAATATTGTTTAGTTTGGTTTCACTGCTAGGATTAGCTAAGTTCTCTTCTTATTGTAGGTCCTAGTCCTTTATGAGGTACTTTATTCTCATTACTCACAGTAGCTTTTGTGCATAAATACATAATGAGTTAAGAAATAGTCAGCCATTGTTTCTAGGTGAAATACAAAATTGTATTTGTATGAGCTTTTGGTCATATTTTCATCAACTGATCAATATATAACCTGAATTTACATGTGCCTCAGCTTAAGGATACTGAATGTATATTGCTGATTATTAGCAGTGATTTCAGGTCATACCTGAAAGAAGTTTTTCTAACATGCATACTCTTGGTGTAGGTCACATCTGTAGCCATGTTAATCAGCTGTTCAGCACTACCCGGGAGGAGGACTATTTTAAACAATGCAATCATTAACAAAATGATAAAAATACAAAAAATCATGCCACAAAACAGATTCTAAAAAGGGAAATGCATTTGCAGGATTGTCAAGCTTGACTGGGAGCTGTATGCCAGATGGTGCAGTATTTTGGCCACTGTGACTGACCACATGTCTCATGTCTGTGAATGACCACAGAGATGCTGTTAATATTATATTTGAGGTTACCAAATAGGCAGACCCATGAATAAGGTATATATCATTCGTGGCAAAACTATAGTACATGTAGTTTTGTTTCTTTTTATTAAGACGAGGTATTAATGCATGAGTTGTTTTTCCTAAGCTAAAACCTTATTATTTAGGTTTAATTGCAGAGTTGGCACTTTGCAATAAATAAGTGAGTTTTGAGTTGTCATTTGGGCACTTAATGCTAAAAGGTTTGCCATCTCTGGTATACACAGACACTACATGTCCGCTGTGTGTCCTTTGCAAATGTTTTCTGCCACATTATGGCTTGTATTTTAGTCCTTTTAGGATTATTCATAGAAAATGTTTACTTTTAGGGAAAATAAATTTGAAATATGTATTTTCCACTTAATACTTCGGGTATCAAGTTTAAGAATTCTGGTTAGATTTAAATTTAAGATATTTTAGGAATTATCTACTAACTTCATAGTTTTATACTTTTCATTGAAATCTTTTGATTTTAGTTTATAAGGTGAGACATTAAATTTGAAGTTAAATTCATATTGTTTTGCTTATGTAGGTCTAATTGCTTCAAAAATTTCACTAAATGGGAAATTTTTCTTTCATTGAATTGCTTTTGTAATTTTTTCAATTATATGGGCATATTTATACTTTCGTTGGTGGCGCGTAAAACATAAACATCTGTACTTCCCATGTGATCACCACTTAAACCAGAGGAGGTGAGGTTCTCATTACTTTCTGTACAGGATGAAAGTCTGCTACCGACTGGAGACTTTCTCTGGGTAGGCTGGGCTGAGTATAAGGCAGATTTTCATATGGTTTAGCAGCAGTGGATCCCTAGACTTTCCAGATGGTCTTAGCTAGTAGATGAGGGTGAGGTCACAATTTTTTCTGTGTTGCTTAACTAAATTAGACAGTTATAACCTAAAAGTTTTCTGTCTTGCTAGGCTACACTCTTGTTGGTCTGTGTTTAATGTTGCCTGTTAACTATTCCAGGATCCAGTCTGGGACATATGAGTGGGCCTATGAGGAAGGAAGAAAAAGTAGAGGACTGGTCACCATGATTTTTATCTTATCAAGAGATCCCGATATTGTCTTTCTTCTCCATCTTTGAAAATCTCCTTTGATTTGTTTTGTATATTTATTGTTGATGGAATTTTGTTGTTTTTCTTGTGCTTGATGAGGAGATTAAGTAAGACTATCATAGTCTGTTTTCTGGGAAGCAGAAATCATAGGAGCTGGGTAAATTTTCCTTAAAATCCTGTTTACTGATATAGAAACTGTATAGAAAAGTTATGTAACAGTCAAAGTTACACAGCTTGGTGTCTACCACAAAGTAAAACCATGAATCCAGGTCCAGAGCTCTTTTCTCTGCTCATCACACGCACTTGCAAAGAGACAGAAGACTGCCAACAGGAACGTTCTTGTGTTTTCCATGCCACTGAGTTGGAGATGGGGGATGACCTTGCTCTGACTCAGTGAGCCATGGAAAATAAAATGTTCATCATCCATTTTCCTCTATGTCACTAAATTTTATTCACACAATGACATTCAGATCAGTGGGAGAGAGGAATGCTTATGTTGCCAGAAATGTTCTCAACAGTTTCCAAAGAGAAAGGTTAGTAGGTGCAAAGCACAGATTTTCAAAAATATATGTCTACAGTTGTGACCATAGAGGACACATGAAATTCCCCACAGTACGTGAGCCTATGTCATGTCTTGAAATGATGGCATTTGGAAAGATGTACTAATAAAAAAGATTTGAACAGAAAGTAAGGGAAGATAAATGTACTGGGAAAAGTGTTTGGCGATACTCTCAGAGATGACTCAGTTGCTATGTGCCTTAAGGAAGTGGTGTGTGTGCATGTGCGTGTGCAGTATAGCATGAAGGCAACTCAGTCGTCTATGAATTTGCCACTATGGGTTATGAAAACCTGTTTATGTGTAGCACTGAAATTCTTCAACTAAGCAAAAGCCACCCTTCTCAATGCAGCTGTGTCCCGTATAGTGTTACCTTGTTCTTCTCACCTTCATCCTGATTCGGTCTTGTATGCTTTCAAATGAACTCAACATCCTGCATCCGACTATAGCCCATCCTTTCCCCCTTCAACTCTGCTGCTAAAATTCCTTTCTCTTTGCTATAAGAGAAACTTCATGCTTGCTTTTCTGTCTACTGCCTAGAAACTTCCTGGTTTCCTACAGCTTTCCAGACTGAATCTAGATATTTTTAGAAGTTGGCACAAAGAAGTCAGCTCTTCAGCCACCTGTCTTCTGCTCTCTTCTTAGGTATTACCAGATCCGAGTGACCTTAAAAGTGTCCTCAAGGATCCCGCATAGATTGAGCGCTTCCATCGTTGGGCAGACAGGTGAGTAGAACAATGTACAGGGCCCTTGTCCCAGTGGTGAGTCTTCATTTCTCAGTGTGTGCTGCCAGGACCAGGCAGAGTGCAAGGTGCACAGAGGGGCTCAGCACATCACTGCAGAGGGGTAGATGTAAGCCTTTTGGAAATACAGACTTGCTGTTGGAAGTGGTTTCATGTGATCGTCATGGGACATCTGACTGAAGAAAAACACACTGTCCCAGGAGTGGTAGTATTTGGGGACAAACTGGCTGTGGCATTTCAACTGAAGTCAGGTCAGGGATGAAATGTGTGAGAAATAGTATCCAACATGTAATTTATGGAGAAGACTCATTAAAGAGCCCCAGGCAATCAGGCAGTAGACTCTGAAGGTAGGCACTTGTGATGATATCTTCCATGCACAGTGGGGGCTTTTTAAAAGCCAAGTGCTCAGTGTGGGGAAAAGGGCTGTGAAAAACACCCTAAGTCTCACCCTCAAGGTGATTCTTAAGGAGTATTGAGTATCCAGGCACTCTACCATAGAGCTGAGTTAGAAATATAGAACTTTTTGCAGAAGATCTAAAGATAAGTATCAGATTACCTAGCAGAAATACAAGATGGTTACATTGGTAGACTGGGGAGTCCTGCATAGACTAGCAGTTTTTATCAAGAAGAAAGAGAAAGATTTAGGGGTGGTGTTTGGAGAGTGAAGAGGAAAAAAGGAAGAGATGAACAACATCTGTTACACTTTAAAAGTAAAAGTAACTTGGAACATTACAAAATTCAAATTCTGGTTAGAGCTATAATTCATAAAATTCATCTGGAGTTGACAGAGATACTAAGGTGAAAGAAGTTGTGTGCCTTTGCCTGTCCACAGGTTAAAAGAGTAAATATGTGGTCTGCTTAACTTCATGTTGTAGCTGTGTGTGAAGCGTCAGCTCTGCAGTGCAGAGCAAATCATCGGAAAGTCAAGGCACGAGTGTTAGTAGACTAATTCAAATTCGTGATAAGGAGAATGATGCTGTTGACTCTGTTTCTGGTTGTGAGCAGAGTGAATGTTAAATAGTTCTCCATCTATTGCACGTCTGTCACTACAAGTAAGGTATCTGAGAGGGAGCAAAAGTGTCTCCATTCTCTCTCTCTCTCTTTTTAAATTTTATTTAAAAGGAAAAAGAGAAAAAACAAAACAAAACAAAGCAGTGTAAGGGTACAAGTAATACAGAACTACAAAAAAAAAAAAACAGTAAGAAATCACTGGTTAATAGATTACATATTATCATCTTAGAGATAGTTGCTCAAAGTCCCCATTCTCTTACAGGATGAGTTAGTTCATAGTGATTCAGGGTTCCAGCACTTCCTTTTCTCTGCTGGACCCTGAGTTACCTGAAAAGGACCACAGTCCCACTACAGCTTTCACTGTGGCATCCACAAGAGGAGGCGATTTGGACCCTGGAAACTCATCAGCTACTTAGTTGTGCAACCTCAAGTAGGTTATCAGTGTCTTGAGCTTTATTTCCTCCTCTGAAATATGAGGAGAAAGCCCATCCTCCATGGGTTTTCGTATTAGAGGCTGTAAATAAAAAAGCCATTTTATCTTTCATAGATTATAAATATACCAAATGTAAATGTTCCAGAATCTGGCACCAAGTCTGACAGTTCTACCTGTGAGTGCTCATGGGGTCCTCAGTGTGAGATTGGAGCCAGGCAGAAGCTCAGTGAAGGGACAGATCAGAAGCAGCTGACCTGGTAGTGACCATCTGCAGCCTGTTAACAAGGATGTCATGGGCAGCATGAACTTAGCTCCTCACATATAAAATGAAGGTGGGATGTGATTTTTATCTTATAGGTTTGTGGTGAGGATCAAATGACTTATGCAAGAAAATGACAAAAACGTTGCTGGGCACATCATTGGCTCAGAGTCACCCTTCCTAGACTAAGCATTTCTATGGTGCTCAGAGCAGTTGTTTGTGTCATAGTGCTTTTTCCACTGCTGGTTGCTGGAATACACCTCTGGTCATAGGAAGCTGTCTTCCTGCCTTGGACAGGTCAGTCATGGTGGGAGACAAAGAAGTGGCCAGATAAATGCAGAAGAAACAGATTGTCATGACATCCAGGGGACCAATGTATTCATTATGGACTACATCAGCTCAGAGCCTTGTAGCTGGGTGGAAGAAGAGGCTCCCAAAGGAGACCTGGAAGGAAGAGTAGTCAGTCCCAGAGATAGATAGGGAAGCATCGTCCACGCAGAGGAAAGGTGATGACCTGTACCACCAGAGGGCATTCCAGGATGAAAGGTCTGGTGGGCATATTGCTAAGAACAGGTGTCCTGAGAAAGGAGGCAGTGGACATTTGAGTTAGAGACATTTCCTGCCACAATGGGATCAATTTTTTCTCAAAGACATGGCCAGGTGAAATCAAAGCTGTCTTATGACATAAACCCAGTGTGATGAATTGATAACTGATGGTCAACTTGTAATACCAGAACTGAATCAGCATGGTGCTGAGTTTGGATGGCCTATGTGAGGACTGTTGCCAAGATAAAAAGGACAACTGGAAAGGAATGGTGGGTAGTATTGGTTCTCTCTGGTGTTGTTTGTTCTTTTTTTATTGTTGGTTCTCCTGGAGGAGCTTGTCAAGCTTATTTCCTGATGTGAATTTGGCTGTTCTCATCGTCAGAGGAGCTTGAGATCTTGTTGCCACTAATGGCGGTGGTTCATTTTAGGGGATCTCTGGTATTTACTTTTTCCTGATTCCAGGGAGGAAGACAGTGTGCTCTTCAATCTCCAGGAGAAGCCTGTCATGTTGGCTTGTTGATGTGAACTTGGTTATTTTCATGATTAGAAGAGCTCAGAACCTTGTTGTCACTGAGGATGGCTGTGATCCTTATCAGGGGAACCCTGGTCCTTATTTTGAACATTGCTTCCTGGCTCTACTACAGAATCTTCAACCTAGTGACACAGATCCTTCATCCTGCTGGCATGGACATCTGGCCTTAGCCACTGACCTTTGGGTCTTTCCAGCACAGATCCATGAAACAGACTTTCATGAGACATTGTCATGGGCTATATGTCTTCAGCTGGGCTTGTGCAAAATATTGTGTGGTTCTGGGCCTCCTAACTGGATTTTTCAGGGTTTTTAGTGTGTGGACAAATTTCCTACATTTTTTGTGTTTGACTTGTGTTTAATTCTGTAAAGTAGGTGTCCTGTGTCAAATTGTTTCCCTTGCAAACCCTGAATACAACACCCAGAACGGTTAAGACACACACAGTGTACTCATAAATCTCATAAATTAAGGAAAAGAATTCTATTTTTGTTCTCTTTTCAGTTATATCAGTTCTTGAGTAATCACTTTATAAGAAAACATATTTCAATTGTAAAGGTGATGTAGGTATAGATTTTTTTAAATAAGAAAATATTTCATTTAATTTTATGTTATTTGTGATTAGCTTCTGTGCATACCATGCAACAACAGTTCCCTTAGGCATGATCTGCATATCCTCATATCTTCTCTCAGAAGTCTTCTTGAAGTTAATTTGGTAAGATTTCTCAGGAAAATTAATGACTTTTTCTTATCTGAGTTAGCCAAGTTCACACCGAGGAGACTTCAACTGGAATTGAATGCTTAGTCATTAGGAATGACCCTCTACTTGGCATTCTAGAAAGACTTAGAGAACGTATAGTAAGACAATAGGGTAGGTAGCTGGAACAATGTCAGGTGTGGCCACTTAGCTGAGTACAGAGCATAAGGGCAGTCCCTTCAGTGTGGATCTGGGGAGAGTGAGGACCCTGGTCCTGGAGCTCAGTATGCATCCAAAGGCTTTAGGAACATGAAAGTTAATTTACTGGTGATTGTCTGATGATTCAGTGAGCCTAGGACATACCTCAGCTGTACTAACACAGAAGAGGAAAAATAAAAGTCATTTCTATATCATTCTGCTGTTGTACTTTCAACCAGGAAACTGTCAAATTAAGTACCCTGAAGTTAGTATAGCAGGTCCTGGAGGTAGGACCTGCATTCATCCATGGGAACACAGGACTCTTTCACATTAGGGCTTCCACTGCCAAGCAAGCCCCTCAGAGGGATCCTTAAATTTCTGCTTACTCTGAGCCACATGCATGTGTGTGTGTGTGTGAATGTTTGTGTGTAATTGATTTCAAATGGTATATCTTGTTCTTATACACTAAAGGTACATATGTCAGTCAAGTGTGTGACATATTGATCCAAATCAATATTTATGAGTTCAATGAATTTTTCTGATGCTGCTTTTAAGAAAGAAAATATACTATGCCCTGAGAAATGCAGAAATGGGTAATGATTAATTGAGATGTGATTGTTTAGGTACTCAAGGAAGAGACCCAGTGAAAGAAATTTCAAAATGTGATTAAGTTATTGCAATGCCTTATTTTATGTTTTCCTCTGACAACAAGGTTAAGAGTAATCGACTCCTCTGTGACTGAGGATAAATGTAAAGGATGCTTAACTTGGCTATTTTCCTCTACCCAAAGGTATTATTTAATGGATTTTGTACCCTCTCCTGTCTTTAGATCTTTCTTAGTCATTTTCCTTGGGGGCTGATCAATTAGAGTAGCAGTTAGGGGGAAGGACTGTCCAAGTATATTGAGACTATGGCAAACAGGTAGGCATGGAATAGACATCTGTTAGACTTTGTTCATCAAAGCAAGAAAAATGTGCAGTGAATTGTGGAAATGTATAAAAATTGCCATGATTAGTTTTAGTAATGTTTTGAGAGGTAATTTCCATTTCCATTAAGTAGAAGCACTTAAGAGCTTTGCTGAGCGGAGGGTGGGGGAAGAGACATTTATTCTCTAAATGTATCATTGTAATTTCTTTTCAGGGTCCATTAAAGTGCACCTAAATATCAAATATGCCTGTTTTCATGGGGAATGCTAAGCAGGCAAAACACTCCAGCTCCCAGGTTTTGAGCTTCTGTCTGTACAAAGCAGAGCTCCCTCAGGGTGGCATAGGGGCTGCCTGTGTACACAGCACTTCCCCAGGAGTCTTCTAT